TATTTAAAAGACATGGGGTACTGAAAATCTGGATTCTGTAAGCTTGCTTGAAAGTTGAATTCAATAAGCAATTTTGATGCTCTTGTTTCATGCAAATCATAAAATAAGTAAAGAAGGGAACTTCAAATTTTTTTGAAATATTAAGCTATTTGAAAATTTTTACTGTGATGTACTTAAAACTTTTTCCTATGTAGGTTGCTTACATAAATAGGTCCACCATACTGGTGTATACTGTATGTACAGTACTGTAAGCTTGCATATAGATACAGCAGAAAAACGAATTGGGAAGTGCTGGTGACGTATGAACGTGAAAAAGAACACCTTTTTTATTCTAAAATTGAAAAACGCAATTCTATAGATCGTCGAAACATGTAGAGATAAAAGTCTGGAGTTCAGTTGGGAAAATTGTATCAGCAAAAGAATATACTGTACAGTACTGTACACGTCAGAATAATAGGACACTTGGAAATTGAATGCCTTAACGTAATCTAAAGGCAAATGCGTCAGATTGCTACGAAATTTAAAAATGGGGCATCTATATCATCAAGCCCAGTATTTTGAAGCGCTGATATACTTCATCAGATCTTCGGCTGTGCATCAGGAACATTCAGAATTGTAATACTGTATTGTGCCTCCTGGTAAGGCTGACTGGATTAGTCCGTGTATAGAAGTTATCTGGGAAGTACAGTTCTGTACAATGTATATAGGGTTGATGGATTTGGGGGTACCACGAGGGTGAGAGTGATCATCGAATGATCAGTAGATGCCACAGTAGATGATAGAATTTGGGTTCATTCTATAGTTCATAGATGTCGTTACTTTTTAAAGTCATGGCGGCGCCCTTCTAAATCCTGCTGGGTCACCGAAAATTGGAATAGCGCCCTGTATTGTATTCCCTTTCCTGAATGGAGGAGGAGCTCCGTACGGGATTGACGTCATAAGGCCGTTCGTTTATCCGACGTTGTGTGTGCCCCTCTACGTCAGGGNTCCTTTAGAGAAATCACATTGCAATGCTGACCTTCCTGAATGTTTTATTCATCAGGCCGAGAATCTGCTGTTGGATCAAGCAAAAAATATAAAAATTGCTGATTTTGGATTCAGCAACTATTATGATCCTGACGGTGGGCATTTATCGACGTGGTGTGGAAGTCCTCCGTATGCCGCTCCGGAAGTTTTCGAAGGAAAACAATACGTTGGTCCTGAAATCGATGTTTGGGTATGCGAAATCGTTCATTGAGAAGTTTGATTCCAGCCCAATGGAAGATTCACATTCGTGCGATGACCTGTTGGCATTGTGGAAGCTACACAGCAAATTACCTTTTTCCTCAATGTATTTTGAAGTGTTATGATTACAGTTTTTTTAATCTGATGAACTGGAATTCTGCCGGCTTAACTGAAAATTTCGAAAGTTTTATTTGTTTAAAATTTATCTTTTCAGAGCTTAGGTGTAGTGCTTTATGTCCTCGTCTGTGGAGCGTTACCATTCGATGGATCAAGTCTGCATTGTCTGCGTGACAGAGTATTATCCGGAAGATTTTGGGTTCCGTACTTCATGTCAACTGGTGAGCTTGGGGTTGAACTTTTTTGTGTCTTGCCCCATATTTGACTCAATGCTGTATTCAATTCCAGAGTGTGAAAATTTAGTAAGAAAAATGCTTGTTGTCGAACCTACAAAACGCTATTCTCTGGACGAAGTGAAGAAGCATCCTTGGATGAACATGGGCGATCCGCCGAAACTTCTTCCACCACGACCAGATATTCAGATGGATCTCAATAATCAAATAGTGCGCTTAATGCAAAGTCTGGGTATCGACCAAGTGAAGACACGCGAGGTACTCGAAATAATTCACGTCTCGAAATTATTTAGTGCTTTGGTTTCTCTTGTATTGATTACTGTAGTTTTCATTCAATTCTGATTGTAAATGAAAAGCGATGATGGCCACAAAAGGCTGAAAAAGTTCTGAAACTTAAGTTCTTCAACTTCCATGATTCTCAGGGGGAAGACGATTGTTACTCTAAAATTGAGTACAGTTATTTTCTCGTCTGCGTGAAGATCCATCTTGAACTAGAGGATCAGATGAATGCATGCTTTCAAGTTTCAACAACTTTAACTCGTGATTGAAATTTTTGAAAGTTGCTGGGGTACGTTTTGATCGATTCTTGGATGTTTGTTTGCAGTCGGTACAGAAAAGGAATTTCGATCACCACTCCGCGATATACATGCTTTTGGTGGACAAATTGCATCAGCATCACAGCACCGGTGTATCAGCGGTTTCATCAGAAGCCTCTGGCCAAAGACGTCCAAGTTGTGTGGCTGACAATGCGATTATGCGACGTATCGTCGATCCTTCTTCCTTACTTCCTTCAACTGGTCGCCGGGAACTTGTCCGAATGGAGACCTCACCAGACTCGCATCTCTCCACCGTTCCGTCGAATGCATTATACTCTGAACCTTCAGCCCCGTTCGGACTAAATGTCGTTCACGAAGACCAAGTGGCAGACACGAGTCCCTACAAAGGATTGTCCATTGATGAAGGCGTCGAGTGCGAAGCTGATATGTCGGTGTCAAGCTCGAGCTTGAGTCTGTGTGATTCAGTACACGTTCGTGGGCGTATTTTGCATCAAATGTCTCACCAGTACAGCAGAGACTCTGGTGTTTCTGGTCCGTACATGTCGGACGCGTCTCCTCGTGGCAGCATGGTTAGCTCCATGTTTGAAAGCTTCGACTCGCAGCATACTGACGGGGGACAAGCATCGTGTGTGGGTGATATGAATTCGGAGACAGAGTGGGGAGTGGGTCAGGCAGGTCAGCCTGAGAGTATCGGCAGGATGGTTGCAGTGTTGGACAGTGGAGATGGACAGGCGACAGGCGAATTATGGGAATCGAGGGACGAGTTTGTGGGTGGCTTAGTGGACCTGTGCGAAGGTCAAGATTTGTTTGAAGGATCCGTCACGCAGAGGCTGAATGAACCCGGAAAATGTGAAACGCTGATAACCGAATCTTCACTGACCAAAAGCAGCGATGCGTATCGGGGATTCATGAGATCCGAAGAACAGGTAAGCGCGTGCCCAATTGAATAATCAGTTAAGCAATTGTCAGTGGGACCCCGACATATGGACGATTTGACTTCAGGGAACTTGCAACTCAGAAAATCTGCCCCCGGACATCCGGAAACTGTCCGGAGGTGGAGACTCTTTTCCGAAATTTCTTGACAAAATTGAAAAAATATATTTTTTAAAATTTGGATATCTCTTGAACAAATTGAGCTGCATTACGTATATTCACAAAACTTGACAAGACATTTCTTTATAAATTTACCGTAATTCATAATTGAAAACAAGTTGATTTTTGCTTCTGTTTTCAGAGTTTTTTCCATCATCTGTGCACAGTATAGGAAGACTTATTTTTGTTCTGTGCTTTTTGAGCTCCTCTTGATGCCAAACGGTCAGATTCTGTTTGGTTTCCTTCTGCACAGTTATTTTCTATGTCTTGAAATTCAGGAACAATTTTTATTCAATTTTTGGGGGAACTTTTACCAAAATTTCCACAAACAGATGAACCAATTAGATCACTGAAGTACAGTATATGGGGAAACTCGATCGGACAGGCGGATGCTCCGACATAGGGACAAGGTCAAAGCACCGATTTCGTCCTCATCTCAGGGCCCAACTTTATGTTGTGTGATGAATCTATCCCGTGACGTAAACTGAATTGTCTACATTATGATGAACGGAAGAGTTTTTCCTTTTTTTTTCAGGCGAGCCATGATCAGATGGTGAATACAGGAAAATCT